CTTTTCACTTTCAAACCTGGAGACACAACCCTTTCTGTGAGCCATGGATCTCGCTCGCCCCCTACTGGTGCCTTCCAGAAGCCCACTCTTTTTGGGGGGTCTGTTTCTACAGAATACTGTACAGGCACAGGCCTTCAGGATGCATTCACGCGTTTTAACAAAAGTACTCGCCCGGGTGGCCGCCCCCCAAGAGCGAAGCAGCGCCCCGCGATCCCCCCACCGTGCCGCCTGCAGAAGCTGACCTTGGTGAAACCCCCACGTGGAACCCACAGCGCCCCCGTCCAACTTCCTCCCGCCCCCAAGCTTTTGAGCAAGTGCCCAGCACCTGCTGCCTCCCTGGCTCACCTGCCCCCCACTCCTCCGCCCCGGCCCCCGGCTTCCGCCCAGCCCCCGACTACCAGTCATGAAGGTCGGCTTGACCTCCTCGCGGACACATGCCCCGTCTATTCTTAGCTGTCAACTGCCTTGACCCTCTGCGGCATTTGGCGCTGGGCTGCTTGTCTCGTGGCCAAGGACAGGGTATTTCTACGTCTTTGGCTTCACGGGCCGGGACATGTTTCCTTCAAGAGAGAGGAACAGCTAGAGAGAGGTTTTCTGTTTGTTTGTTCACCTTGCCAGGAAGTCACGGGGATAATCAGAGTAACGCTGCCGGATCCCTGACCACGTGCCAACCCTGCGCCCCGTCTCACCCATCGTCCCATCACCAGCCCCACTGTGCACAGGAGCAAACTGAGGCTTAGCAGTGAAGCCCTGGCTGGTGTGGCTCAGTGGATAGAGCGTCAGCCTACGGACTGAAGGGTCCCGGGTTCGATTCCGGGCAGGGCACAAGCCTGGGTTGCGGGCTTGATCCCCAGTGGGGGGCGTGCAGGAGGCTGCCGATTGATGATTCTCTCTCATCATTGATGTTTCTCTCTCCCTCTCCCTTCCTCTCTGAAATCAATAAAAATATATTTAAAAGAAGAGAAGCGAAGCCATTTGCCTAGGACACTGGCTCTCATAGGCCCCTAAGGCACCTTCAGGGGGTCCACAGACTCCCCAAGACCCTACCAGGAGCCTGCCCCTGTCCTCTATGGTCGTCGCCACTCTGAAGGCTAACTGAACGTGTGCTGTGCACCCCTGGGCTTTCAAAACGTCTGTTACCTTATGATGGGAATGAAAGAAACCAGGCACCAAAAACAGGTATTCCTTCTGTAAGCAATGTCCAGAGGAGGCAAAGCCGTCGAGACAGGAGGAGCCCGGTGGCTGGCGCAGGCTAGGAACGGGGGGTGGGTGCTAAGGGGTGTGGGGTTTATTTTGGGGGTGATGAAAACGTTCTGGAATCAGAAAGCGGTGATGGTGGCACAAAACAGTGACTGTATTAAAAACCACTGAATGGTACACTTTACTAGTAAATGGATGAGTGTTATGTTAATTATATAATAAAAATTTTATGTCTGTTTTAATTTCTCATAGGGCACAGTCTTTTTTTTTTTTAATCCTCACCCGGGGATACGTTTTTATTGATTTTTAGAGAGAGAAGAAGGAGACGGGGGAGAGAGAGAGAAACAGCCAGGGATCGAACCTGTAACCTAGGCATGTGCCCTGAGCAAGAATGGAACCCTCAACCTTGGTGTACGGGATGATGCTCCAACCAACTGAGCCACCCAGCCAGGGCTCCTTTTATTTATTTTTAAATGAACTTTTAATTGATTGATTTTAGAGGGAGAGAGAAACATGGACTTGTTGTTCCACTTACTGATTCTTGGATCGGACCCGCAACCTTGGTGGACTGGGACGACGCTCTAACCCACTGAGCCGCCCGGCCAGGGCCCGGCGAGGGCACCTCTTCAGAGACAGAACTCACGCCCACGAAGGCTCGTGGGAGTCCTCAGTGATTTGTAAGATCCTGAGACCAAAAAGTTTGAGAACCGCTGGCCAGGGGTCGCAGGGCTGGCAGGTGGCAGTGCCAGGGTTTTGAAACTCAGGAAGCCGAGCTTTCGGCCGCCGGGCGACACTGTCTCCTCTGTGCGGCCAATTTCTAAATAGAAAACGGGACGAGTGCCATCTGCTGCCGCTAGCATCTCGGACGCACATCAAAGTAACACCAGCTATTCTTTTTTTTTTTTTTTAAATCCTCACCAGAGGTTATTTTTTGCATTGATTTTTTTTTTTAGAGAGTTTAAGGGAGGGAGGGAGAGGGAGAGGGGGAGAGAGAGAGAGAGAGAGAGAGAGAGAGATCAGCTGCCTCTCACACGGGATTGAACCCACAACCGCGGCACGTGTCCCTGACTGGGAATCGAACCTGCAGCCCTTCGGTCCTCAGGCCGATGCTCCAACCACTGAGTAACACCGGCCAGGGCACACCAGCTCTTCTTTCTCATCATTGTCACTTTACAGGGAGCAAACAAGTTCACAGAATCAGCCCCCCAGCTGGGAGGTGCAGAGCCGGGATTCGAACCCAGGCAGCCAAGCTCTGGAGCAGCACTCCTAACCACGTGGCAGCTGTCGGCCCTCCCAGGGAGGTCACGGCCTGAGAATTGCTGTTTTTGTCTTCAAAATCCAGAATATACTTCATTCATTCAACACATCTCCAGGCAGACACTACATTTGCATTGCAGATGCTTGTTCTTAAACAGGTTTCATAAAATGTATCGGTGCAAGCATACTACATTCACTACCCCAGTTGTTCCAAACAGACTTAAAAGTTTCCCAGCCCTGGCTGGTTTGGCTCAGTGGATAGAGTGTCGGCCTGCAGACTGAAGGGTCCCGGGTTCGATTCTGGTCAAGGGCACGTGCCCCAGTTGCTGGCTCGATCCCCAGTAGGGGGCGTGCAGGCAGCCGATCAGTGATTCTCTCTGATCATTGGTGTTTCTCTCTCTCTCCCCCCCACCCACTTCCTCTCTGAAATCAATAAAAACCTATATGTTAAAAAATATATATATAACTGATGCCCAGGAGGATTAACTGATTTCTTCCTCGCTCTGTTCCTTGACAGACCAGCCAGCGAGCTTTTCAGAATGGAACTGTGAATAAGTCACTCCCTTCAACAGCTTCTTGGATGTGGCTCAAGACCAAAACCAGCCCGAGCCGGCTTGGCTCAGTGGACAGAGCACCGGCCTGCGGACTGAAGGGTCCCAGGTTCGATTCTGGCCAAGGCACATTCCTGGGTTGCGGGCTCGATCCCCAGT